AAGGGGGAAATGTGGGTAAAGACCTGCGGCTGTTTCATGTGCTTATTAGCAGGCAGGATTTGTGCAGGGGAAATCCTGTCCCTTAAGCCTCTTTCCTTAAATCTCTCTTCAGACCACGCTGCAGACAGATGAGGTGAAGAATGTCCCTTGTGGTACCAGGTGAGATGGTCAGCTGTTACCCCCCGCAATCGTCCATTTTTGCTAGAAGCCTTTGAATCCTTTCCCTGCCCCCCTGCTGCTTTAAAAGGTGCAGATTTGATTTCAGGGGCTGGATTTCCCACCACCGCCCCAGCTGAAATCAGCGTAAGGCGTCACCCAGGCTGATGAGCGCTGTTGGGAGGGTTTATGTGCGGCCCTCCTCAGGGTCTGCACCCAGTTTGCCGAGCCCAGCCCCGTGTTTTATGCTCCAGTTTGTGGAGACACGCGTAACTGAAACCAGGAGCGGGGCGCCGGGGGTTTGTTGGGTGCGGACGCCGCACTCAGCCCGCTAGAGGGGAGTGTCCTCCGCTCGGAGCTGCCCGGCTGCACAGGCATGGCTCTTGGCCTCCAGCAAACTCCTTTTTTTCTCCTTTTTTTTTTTTTTTTCTTTCTTTTTTTTCCTTTTGCAGTGGAGGAGTGATGATTTATTTTGACAGAATTGAGGTGGTGAATTTCCTCATCCAGAGCGCAGGTGAGCTCTTCCGCTGTGACCCCGCACATCCTGCCACCCAGAGCTGTTGGTGCTCCTGCTAGTGCGAGAGGAGGTGAAGAGGTGGTGCGGGGCTGTGCTTCGGAGCTGGGATGTACCACGGGTATTGCCCCGTGTACCTGGTGAAGCCCTGTACTTCCTGGGCAGAAACTTAAACCAGCTCTCGCTGACGTGTGGTGTGTTTGTTATTTGTGCACGTGCTTGTTCGGTGCTGCTGGTTGTTTCACTAGTACCTGAACACCGTCCATCTTTGATTTTTAACATCCTCTTGGTTACAAGTGCCTGGCTCATCAGTGGCCTGCTTCGAGACCTCTGTACTGCAGCTCAGGCGGGTTTGCAGAGGGGGCTGCTGTTCGGTAGACGTCCTTCTGTTTACAAAGCGTGTGACAGAGTATTGGTTAGGGGGCTGGGAAGTATCAGCAATGGATAAAACTCCCCTGAACAAAGTGTGTGTTTGTGGCACAGGCTTCTCTTGTGGGTGGACTCCTCATTTCGGGTTGGTGCTGCGACTTGTGCTGCTGCGGCTGCGCCGTAAGGCGTTCGCTGCGAGTGCTCAGCCCAGCCCGAGACACCCCTCCATCCCAGCTGCTCACACCCGTTTCTCCTCCTCTTCTGCAGTGTACGACATAGTGAAGAACTACACCGCTGACTATGACAAAGCTCTCATCTTCAACAAGATTCACCATGAGCTGAACCAGTTCTGCAGTGTCCACACGCTGCAGGAGGTCTACATTGAGCTGTTCGGTGAGCCGCCCCTCTGACATGTCGCTGTTGGGTTGGTGGCTCCGTGAGGGATGTTTCTGATCGGTGTTTGCGTGGTCTGTTGGTGCAGAACTCGCCACCCCCAACTGGCAGGTGCTTCACCTATTAGTCCCATGCCTGCTCTGTTTGAATCGGGACTGTTGGCCAGCTACAGCTACTTACTCCTTGTTATCTCTTGGTGTGGAGTGCTTCAGTGTGTGGTAACAAAAAAAAAAATCCAAACCCAAACCTGGCGGTAGCAGCGCAGGGCGTTAGGGAAGGGAGCGGGAACGCTGGGGTGGCGTTTGTGAGTTCAGCAAGTGCGACTTGTTGGATCAGCCGCGGCGTTTGCTTGCCCAGACGGACAAGCCAGTCCCCTGCTCCCTTACAGAAAGCATGAGCGAGCGCTCCCCGGCCCGTGGGTTTGGTTACCTTCGTGTCCCGCGCGGGGCTGCGGCACCTGGGGCCTGCGAGCGAGCGCTGGGCCAGCGCCCGCCCCTGCTCTGCCCGCTCCAGGCCATGGGGGGATCGGGCAGCGGGCGCTGGGAGAACATGTCGCAAGAGAGTCTGAAGGAAAGAGGTTTCTTGGTAGAAATAGACCAGCTGCTGCCAGTGCTGAGTGTTTTATTTACGGCTTTGGAGTGAGGAGAAATCCCTTCCAGCGTTTGGGCAGTACAGCAGGGCTGACTGCGGGCAGGGTGTTGCTGTGAATTGTTTTGGACCCCAAACGGACAGAATTTGTGCCTGAAAGAAGACGGGGTGTTTGCAGACCCCTGTTCTGTGTTCAGGCTGGGCCTTCCAAGAAGCTTGGCTTGGCTTTCTGACGTGCCTCTGCACAAGATGCAGAGCTGGGGCTCGGTTCCCCTCCAGTTCCTTTATGGGACTGCTGGCGGGTGTACTGGTTCTTTGCCGATGGAGTCTCCAGATGTCGGCAGCTGCCGACGACAACTGCTTGAAATGGGCTCAAAGCCGCTGATTTGCACAGAAGGAACTTGTATAAACTCCCCTGTGACTGTTTGAGCTGGACGTTTTCTGGCTCAGGAGCTCTGAAATGGGGCACAGCCCATTTCGAGCAGATTTATGTCGTTCTTTGCCCCCACATCTGCGAGCAGGTGCAGGAAACTGATAACAGCTGTTTCCTAAACTCCTGGCTGAACTTCGTTAGGGGAGTGAGTTCCAGATAGCTAAACCGGGACCAAAGCAAATCATCAAGGAGTGCGATGTGATCGCTTTCAAGGTCATTACGTTTTTATTTTCCCTGTGCACTTCTCAGCAGGCCCCAACTGGAAACACCGCTATCCTTAGAGCTTTTCATTGAAGCAGGGGTTTAGTTTGTGTTTCCTTTTGAAATGTCTTGGCTGTGCTGGAGTTAACTGTTACCCCTTGAGCCAAACAGACGTTACCGATGATTTTTTTGCAGCCTATTAAAATAACTCATGCAGCCGTTTCATGTTGCTGCCTTTCCATTTTCTTTGTCTCCTGCTGGCACAGATGCAGCTCCCAATCAGTCACGATTTAGCTGGACCACGTTACTTCAGGATCTACTTGGGAAGAGATCGGTGGGGGAGTGGGTTAGAGCACAGATTCTTTGTTGTAAAGATGCAACTTCTGGCTTGGAAAGATTCCAAACTGCGGGTGATGGGAAACTGGCAAGAGTTTTGTTTCACGCCTGCCGTGTTCCTATAGCCTGTCCTGAGTGTTTGGTGCTGGTCAGTGCTGCTTGACATGTGGACAGAGGTGGGAACCTGCCTCGGGGTCGGGGATGGTTTTTCTCAGCCCAGCACTTGTGCATCAAACTTACATTCGTACTTACTTTCCAGGAATGAGAAGTCCGAGCCATTCCAGCCAATTCTGTATGCGTTGACAGCACGCTGCCTTGTGGGGGTTTTAGTTACCTTTTTTTTGTTTTCCCCAATCAGATCAGATTGATGAAAACCTTAAACTGGCCTTGCAGCAAGACCTAACGACGATGGCCCCTGGATTAATTATACAGGTAATCAGGATTCCCCTTGGAGATGTCTAAGGTGCAGATCGTAAGGAGGAGTAAGAGCTAAAAGGAAATGGGAAGCTGTGAACCTTTTTTAGAAAAATGCTTTAGAATACAGACTTGGTTTAACTTGAGGAATGAGAACAGTATCCTTTCCATCCCCCCTTAGCTTTGGTGTGTTGGGTTTCTTTTGGTGTTATTCTGGGTTCTGGTTCACCCGGGTTATGATCTCCTGTCGTGTCAGGAGGTCATTCAGTCCTGCAGCTGCTCTGTGGAGCCTGGACCTGCTCACAATTTCTGCAGCGTGTGAAAGCTTTGTGTGGCAGAGCATGCCCGAAGCATCAGCTCCCCCATCCTCTACAGCCTCAGGGGCCAGTTGGCTTTTGATTGTTGGCTGCTTGCCTAGGTTTTCTTCGGTCTCTCTTTCCAGGCAGTTCGAGTTACAAAGCCAAACATCCCTGAAACAATCCGGAGGAATTATGAGCTCATGTAAGTGCCTGAGACTTGCCCCTTTGTGTTACCAAAAAGAGCCGGTCATCCAGACTAACGTGTTTTCACAGCACGCGGCACTCGGAGTGCCCTCTGCCAGGCCCGCGCTCGGCCTCGTGCTGCCGTTCAGAGAGGGTCTGGCGAGGCTGCGCCCGAGGAGCACGGGGCTGTCGCTGCACGGGGCTGGCGGGTCACCGCTGAGTCAGGAGGCGTTGCTCCGTTTTGAGCGCTCGAGCACAGAAATCACTTGCCCGGGGGCTCCTGCCCCTTGACACTGGCCCGATCTTCCCGAGGCCTCCCAGAGCGTGTGAGTGAGTGGCAGGTGGACAGGTTCCCCCACTAATCCTGTTGTTTGACTGGGATGGGGAAACTGTTGATTCAACAGCCTGAAGACTCGCAAAGCTCTGAAATAACTTTCTGTAATAGCACTTGACACGCTGATCCCTTCTCAGTGCGCTGGGCCAGCTGCCTTCCCTCGCGCCCGGTCGTTCAGAAGCGCTTACGTGCTGCGAGCGCTCTGCCAGCAGAGCCTGGGGAGGCCAGAGTGAGGTCCCTCCCGTCCATTTTGCTTCCCCAGCGTTTCATGTGACCTCTTGGTGCTGCGATAAGTCGTGTGCAGTATGGTCATGATAGGCAGACTCCCAAATCCACCCGTTATCTGTTGCCATAAACACAGCAGCACATGTGCTGAGAGAGGCTTGTTCTTGACTCTGACCTCACTTCCCTGGTTAGGAGCAGGAGCAGAATATTTTATTTATATACAGACTTTTAAAACTTCTTGGTGTATTTGCAAAACAGTAAGGTAGAAAAGGCTTCAGCAGGTAAAACGCACAGAGCTGTTTGATCGAGTGAAGGGTCATTTCAAAGCTCTGTGCTTCCAAGTGAAGAACAGCAACCATCTGTGAGGGCAAGGCTTTTACTGGATTTTCATTTCTTTGCTTAAATAATTTCCTCACTAATAGTAACCCAAAAAACTTGCAGATGTGCATGGTCTGTGACCTGCCTCTTGCAGAAGGCGTTACAGCAGCCTGCAGGGAGTGTTTCACAGTGATTGCACTGAAAAATCTTCCTGCTGTGGAGGGGAGGAAGAAAAGCTTTGGTTTAAGAAAAAAGCTCTGTGTGTGCAGGTACCTGCCCTCACTTCCCTGACTGCTGCCTGCCCTAAACACGTGCTGGAAGGAAGCCTGGGCCAGCGGCTCGTCCTGGAGGTGTGTAGGCCACGCGCTTCAGAAAGCTCACGTTTTGTAACTGGCTGCTTCTGGCTCACTAGGGAGAGCGAGAAGACAAAGCTGCTGATTGCAGCACAGAAGCAGAAGGTGGTGGAGAAGGAAGCGGAGACAGAAAGGAAGAAAGCCCTCATCGGTGTGTATGTCTGTGCTTGGGGGCAGTGCCTGTAGGGGGCTGTGGTGGGGTGGGCAGCAAAGAGAGCCCGGACGCCGGGGCGGGGTGCACCTGGTTCACTGTTGGGTGATCTCTGCTGGGTCTGTTTCCTCCTGATCTGAAACGCTTCCAGAGAAACTCCAGAGTTTTTCAGGTGGGTTCCAGCTTTGCCCACCAGTGTAGGCTGACGCCTTTTGAGGGCTGAAAATTCTTCCCGCAATTTGTTTCCGCCAGAAGTGGATGGTGAGGACTTTTGTGGGTCTTCTGGCGTTAGGAAGACCGTGTGACGGCAATGTGGATGTGTTCTGTGTCATTTCAGAGGCAGAAAAAATAGCACAAGTTGCTGAAATAACTTATGGACAGAAAGTGATGGAAAAGGAAACGGAGAAGCGAATTTCAGAGATTGAAGGTGAGCAGTGGGCTTTCCAATAAGTACATGTTCTGTGGTGATTTTTATCCTGAGCAGTTCGCCATGGAGTTCAGTAGCTCTTGAAGTGTGTGTATGGATTGTGGTCTGCAATCCAAGCTGACGTTCACAGCGGCGAAGTTACTGGTCTGAAGACTTCTGGTTTAGCCCCTGTATGTAGTACCTTACATAGTGCATTGCCGTTCTGAATAAATCCCAACACTTGGGTTCCCCCATCCTTTTCACAGCCTGTTTTGCAGCGGAGTTTGCAGGGGCAGATCCGTTAGGGTAGCAGGAGGCATTCAGGATACTTGGGCAGTGACAAAGTTAGTGAAGCTTGACCCCAGATTCTTGGGTGGTTCTTCATGTAAGCGCAAGAAGTGTAGTTGTCACAAGTAGGGAGGGAGGGAGTGGCAGGCTGGCGTCTTCCTAACAGAAGGCGTGCCAGGCTTTGGCTAAAGGCTGCAGACTCTCACAGAGGAGTGGAAGCATCCTAAAGTACTACTGTGAGTCTTGGGGGGCAGCCACGTCTCTTGGTTTTCTGCAGTGGGGTAGGGGTGTGGAAGCCTTCTATCCTCTTCTTGCTTAGGATTCTTCTAGAACCTGTCTCTTTCTTGGAGGGAGGAAGAGGTAGGCAATTTTAGCTTTAGTTTTTTTGTGTAGCGTGAAATATTTAGAAAACAAAGTCTGGCTATCACACAGTCTGCAGCAGCAGGGGTCTGCTAGGTGGCTTCCAGCTCCTGAAGGTTGAGAGAAGGGGAGGGGGGAGCTCCTTCTTTTGCAAACATAGTGTTTTGGTTTAACCAATAAATCTGTAGTACCTCTGTTTGGTTTGCTTTTTTGCTTTTTCATCCTCCTTGAGTTTTGCAGCGAACTCCTTTTAGGAACTAGGATTGCCCAGAGGCAGGAATAGGAATGTTTCTTCACAGACTGTGCTTCCTGAAACTCTCTCTCTCAAGATGATCTTTCTAGGAGGTTGTACTGTTGAGTTAAGATGATGTCCCCCCAGCCATCTGATACAAAGCTTTGTCAAGGAAATTCCAGGACATGAAAAGGGGTCTGCGTTTCCAGCTCGGAGTGGCAAGGCCTTATTTTCAATTACGTTCATTATAGGCCCTGTCGAGCTTTGCAGAAGGCCACTGAGGAGCCAATTAAGAGTTTTACAGATCAGCAGCTTCTCATTAAGAAGTTCTTTGCAGAAATACAACGGGTTTTATTTCTTACAAGTGTGCGTCACCGGGTGTCGGGCCTTCAGTTCAGGGCTGTGCTGGCAGAGGACTCCTGTCTCCCTCGCTCTTCCTAGCGTCTCTGACCAGGACCACTGTTTTTAGCCAAAAGAGAGGAAGTCGTGGGCAAAACCCAATTGTTTACATGATTTTTAAGCGTAGCAGCTCACAGGACTCCCTGCTAGTACAGGGAAACAAATGGTTTATCCCTCTGAGCAGCTCTCAGATCCAGACTGGCATGTATTACAGTGATGTGGCTCCCTGTCGTAGAAGGCACGTCAAGAGATCGCATCAAACCAGCCAGATTAAACTCATTGTAGCCTTGAGGTGATGGTCTGTTATCACATCGTGATCAGTGGATAGATGAAAAGTCAGAAGGGAAAAAAGAGGAGTGCAGTAGAGAAAGGGGAAGGGTTTGTTTCCTTAAATGGCTCTGCTAGGAGTTGGGGAACTTTGGTGTCCTGCAGGATCAGATCCTTTATGCAGTTGTTGATACTGCAGAGAAACAGCATCTGTCCGAGGGGCAGAGCCTGGGAAGGTTGAAACCGCCTGCCTCTACGTGCCAGAACCTTAACCTCAGCATCGCAGACAAGCCCCATCTGGGGGATTGCTTTCGCAGTCACAGGCTCATCTGTGGAGCAGTCTGCCGCTGGCCTTGGAGCCCTGCGCGGTGTCGTGGGTAAACGCCGCTTTGCAGTGGAACCGTTGCTGCGTTTTCAGCACGAGAGTCAGTGGCTGGCTGGAGAAGAAAGAGCGTTCTCAGCCCGCGTGACAGGGCTGGTAATAAAAACCGTCTGTTTATAAAATGCTTTGAGGTCTTCAGTTGCAGATGCAATTTACTTACTTAATGCTATCATCCTGCAGCGTTTTAGATGTAAACTGAGATCCCATTTCTGAGTTTCCCATTCTGTTCCCTCTTCTCCTTGTATCCCGTGCAGTTTAGATGTGGTGCTGGCCACTTTAAAGTTTCCAGCTGCAAGTGATGCTAACATGGCTGGAAATAAAACCTGAGGATGACAGCATGCGTTCTCTTCCAGATGCTGCATTTCTTGCCAGAGAGAAGGCAAGAGCTGATGCTGAATGCTACACTGCTATGAAGGTAGCCGAGGCTAACAAGGTATGGGTGTTTCCTTACGCTGCGCCTTGAAGCAGGGCTCCTTGCCTTAGGCTGTGTAGAAATACTCAGCAAAAGCGCAGTTTGTGTTTACTGTGTGCTTGTTGTGTCTTGCTGTGTAAGTCAAAAAGCAAACCAAAGCCATCTCCTTTCAGAAGAGTTTTCACTGAGACTGAAACAATCGCTTTCTTATTTGCAAACTCATTTTCTTCGCTGGAGAGATGAATTTAATGTCAGCATACATGGAATGTCTGGGCATCTCTGGAGACGGCTCCGCTAGATGCTAATGGGGCCACGGTGCTCTCTGTAGATAGAATATCAGTTTCGGTGTTGCCCTTTCATGCTGCTGTAATCAGAAATGTGGATTCATTCCGGTCTGCAGGCTGACCAGCAGGCCAAGAGGGCGATCTCTAGAGTGACAGGCAGGCTTTGAGTAAACCAGCGTTCAGGTGAAGAACAAACGGGGCTGATCTTAAGCAGCAAACTGATGAGCCCGGCAAAGCCTCGGTACTGCAAAAGGAAAAAAGCCCTGGAAACAGAGCAGTGCTGTGGCTGGAACGGCCGGGCTTGTTCCTGCCGACAGCAACTTCCCAGGACATCCCAGCAGGAAGACTTTCCGTTTTGTAGGGGTCAGCGAGAATGGACAGAGGTCTGGGATGTTTGTGCGCTGGGTTTGTCCCAGTTACTCAGCCCTCTCTGTTATAATGTCGTTATCCTGAATGAATGAGCTCTGCTCTCCGAAACGGACTCGTCAATCTACTCTCTGGAAAAAAGCCACTTGTATTTTTCTTTCCAGTAGCTTGCATTGCAAGGGCTTTCAGTGAGTTATGTGCTTTCGAGCTTCTCCATCTCTGGTACATTTGGCTTGAATGTTTCCCCAGCTGCTTCCATCACTTTCTCATTTAGTCACCGGGATTTAGAGCTTCACTTAGACATGCTGAAGGAGAGCCTTCTTCTGGGCACTCCGTCTTTTCAGCTGAGGAGAGGATGAGCATGCCTGCTAGCGTTGTGAAAAAGTAGATGCCTGGTGCTCGTGACAGAAATTTACTTTTGACTGAGTCCAAGCTGTTGGTGATCCGTTTTCTTTTTGTGCAGCTGAAGTTAACTCCCGAGTACTTGCAGCTGATGAAATACAGGGCTATCGCAGCAAACAGCAAGATCTACTTTGGCAAAGATATTCCCAACATGTTCATGGACTATGCGGGAAGCCAGAGCAAATTTGCAGAGGGACTGGCGGAAGGAGTCCAAGAAGAGGATGGGGCAGGAACCGGTGAGGACTCGAAACTACTCCATAACGTCAACTGAAAAGAAAGATTTCTATTCGTTTTATATCAAAAGAAACATGAACTGGGAAGTTCCTTTCTGTTTTCCCCCTTTCCTGTACTGAAAGAGACAAATCGGACTTAATCCTTTCAATCTTTTGTATGGCAATTGGACACAAAGACTTTGGTATTTGTGGGGTGTTTTTTCTGGTAACTCCTAAGCAGCCGGCTCCGGGTATGTCCTCTAGATGCACCTCTCCCTGCGCTTGGACAGACAGACCGCAGTGTTCTGGAGAGGCCAGCTAGACTGTCCTGCAGCCAGCTTAGAGGAGTACTTGCTTTTGGCTTGAGGTGGTTTGTAGCAGTTGGAAGTAACGAAATTTTCAAGTTTTGGAGGGAGGGGAATTGCTGCTACAGCTTGTTGTTTTGGTTGTTTTTTCTTGTTGGAAATTTCGAGTACTTTATTTCACCCCCTTTTAAAAAAAGGTGCTAGACTTTTCTACACTACGTGTGTCTGCTGGAAGGCACCTTGTGCAGAGGGCAGGTACCTGCCCGTTGCGTGGGGCGCTGGGACGATCCAACAGCCTCTGCCTCCGCTCCCGGCCCGAGCGCAGCAACTGCACAAAACCACCTTTTGCTGAGGTCTGAGCCGATGTGTTTCGCCTTGGTAGGGCAGCTGAGAGCACGTGCACCGTGAGTTTCAGGAGTTCGGCTGAAATCCTGCCAGTTACCTGGTTCTCGGGGGGGGAGGGCGGGGGGGTCTGAGCCTCGGACCACGTGTCACGCCGGTAGTGGCCCGAACCGTTCGTTTTCTGCATCTTAACACTGGTTTGTTTTCCACTTTTCCTATGTGGGGAGGGCAAGGGGGAGTCTGTATTTTGAGGCTTTTCCCAGCAGTTTAGCTGCTAGGTGAGGGGTGCAGGTGTGCTGCTGGAGGCCGTGTCCTGCCAGTGGGTAACCGGGCTTGGTTTCCAGTGAAACCAGACTGCAAGCATGGTCCTCGTCGCCGTCGTCGTAGTTAGAAAAACGAGGGAGAAGAGAGTTTTTGTCTCAGGGACCCTGACTTTGCCGAAAGCCTTGCTGGCGAGCAGCTGCTTGAATGGCTGGTCCCCCGGTCGTTCCAGCGCGTTGCTGCCTCTGCGAGACCAACTGGATTTCAGTGTTTACAGTGTCTTACTGAGGACAGTGAGAGCGGGGACATCCGGGTAAACTGAAATGAATGCAACCGAGTTCCTGTTGGGTTTGGGTTTTTTTTTTCTAAACAGGCCTTGTGAAAGGAAGGTTTACCAGTAGCAAAGGGCACAAAACATCATACTGAAAAGTCACAGGGCAAAGGAAAGAACCTCTTGTCTCTGAACTCTCCAAAGACAAATTTTCCTTTTTTTTTTTTTGCTCAGAACAGTGCTATATAACGTACCTCTCGCTTCAGAAAACTGATTAATTCTTCACGTACCAGATGCAAAGAGGTAATAGGGTTTTGCATTACACACGTGCAAAACTTGAGGGAGTGTTAAAGACAAAAGCTCAGGCCTAGAGAGAACATTTTTTTTTTTCTCTCCCTAATCCATCTGCCACTTGGCAGGAGAGCCTGTTTATTACTTGCTGTTGTAATTTGCGGCCAACATACCAGTATGGGATGAGGCAAGTGTAAGTGCTAACTTAGTTGTCAGAGACCAGCCTGTTGCATTCACAATCTTGTGCCCCAGCCGCTTGCTACCTGCTGCGCTCGGTTTCGCTCTCCCGTGTTTGAAACGTGCATTAGTCCTGTCAGGAAGGCGATCACACTAAGACAGAAATCCGATGAATTTCAGCTGCTGTTTTCAGTAATTTTGCTTCAGTTTTCTTTTTCCCTGTTAGGAGAGAGACCATTGATACTTGGAAATGCAGAATACAAGATAAGCATCAGTTTCTGCCGGAGAAAAGTCCCCTCTCCTCTGTGGGGTCTTTGTATGCATTGGGGAATAGGAGCTAAGGGACGTTCCGTCTCCAGACCGATGGGCTACGTTAGACAAGGCAGCGGTCGATCCGTGGCCTCAGTCGGTGGGCTGTAGTGTCCTGGCTGTCAGAAATAGGGATCTGCAGGAGGGTGACCAACGGGGAATGGCAGGAACCTAGCAATGAGGTAACAGTACCTGAACCTTTGAGGATGATCTCATTTGGGATTGTCCAACATCCGTGTTGGAGATTTCCATTAGTAACTAAACCCTACTTTTTACATGAGTATTTTTCACTAATGAAAAGACCCAAATAAGCCAAAGTGGTATTATAAAGTGTGCTTTTGTATGACTTTGCAGTAAAACAATAGTTTGGAATAAATAGGTCTTAGTGATTTTTTTTTTTTTAATTGAAAACATTACTGCTGAAGTATTCTTGTAATTTCATTAAATTGTAACAAGGGTAAAAAAAGCAAAAAACAAAGTTGAAACCATACTAGTCTTCACAAGCCAGAATCCATTGCTGCGTTTTCATTCAGGTTTCTTCATCGTACATAATTCCCTTAATTTTTCCAGAGTAGATCTGTCACTACATGTCAATGTTTATTCCGTCTGTCTCTCTAGCTGATGTTTTGTCCGATTTCCGTAATCTGAAATCTTGAAATGGAGATCTGAATTTTAAAACCACTCTGTATAACAAAGAAAATACAGGTTTGTGGCACTGCTGATACCTGAGAATTGCTGGCGGGAGCATGGCAATGCTTTACCAGTACAATCTTTGATCTTCTTATGTATTGAATTAAAAGCCTTTTTATTTTGGTATTTGCTATGACAATAAAATGGCCTTCAATTTTAATATCAGTTGGGGGTTTTTTTATGGATTGGTGGTGGGTTTTTTTTGTCACAGAGAACCTTTAACACAATCTGTAGGTGCCTTTGCAGGGGAAGGTGTACCAGGGGTGATGCCAAGGGTGCAGCTGCTGGGAGAGCACGGAGCTGTGGGCGCTGCAGATCAGTGCTGTGCTGGCAGCCACGCGCCTCTGCTGCTGCACGGTGCCCGCTCTCCCTTCCCAGGGACAGGAGAGAGGAAAGCAGAGCTCTGGAAGAAGAAGAGGGGCAGAGGTGTCCCATGTCGGCTCAGCAGCCAGCCGAGGAACGCCACAAGCATCTTTTGGCCTCGCTTTGCTGACTGGATTGGTGAAAAATATGGTAACAAGACTTCAGCGACAGATACCTAGGATTTGGTAAAGTTTGCAGAAAATCATTGTCATGTTTTACCAGACAAAGGGCAGGAACCTTCTGGGTATTTTTAAACAGCTGTGTAAATACTGCGTTGCTCAGAGTATGGGGAGGGAGAGCGAGTTCTGCACGTTAAGGCAAATATTTTCGTTAATGGGTTCCAGCTGGCAGTTCCCGTTCTTTCCATCTGACTCGCCGCGATAAAGGCTGGCATTGTCCGCGGCGCTG